GCAACTTCATCCACAGGTGCCTACTAAATAGACGACAACAACAAGAGGACACAGTACGCCCCAACACACTAACTACATTCTTGAAGTAGGGCAGTGTATCAGAACTGACGAGATTCCAACGACTACTAGGAAACACAGTAGCACAGAAACCCACAGCCACTCTACAACACATACTCAAGGATTTAAGACCCCGTTCCCACAACATGCAGAACCAACGTAGTCTACAAAACACCATGCAATGACTGCCACAAACATTACATTACATCGGACAGCCAGGAAGGAAACAGGAATAGCATATTTCGGAATACTGGGGAGGTGAAAGACTCACTGGTTGGCCAGTTTAAAAAGATAATTAAACTTGAGAGTATACATAGTACAGAAATGAATTAGACAAGTAGAAATATATCTGGAAGAGCATATAGTCATACAGAAGGCTAGGAGCTTGATTCAGGAATTTTAAGGATTAAAACAAAGCACACAAATGTAAGCTTTAATTGGACTTCTCAGACCTAGAGGAAACAAGAACAATTTAACCTCAGAGATATAACCAGGAAAATATAACCAAGGTGGAATGCCATTTAACATTTATGAAAAAAAATAACTGTTGCATATGGAAACCTGTTTGAATTTTCAAGGTAAAGGGTGACTGGATGTGGGTACAGCAGAAACTCAATCAGCCTTAGAGTGGGAAGTGCCTATCCCAACTAGGGAATGGTGTAGCAGTGGTTAGCATTGATGCCTCACAGCTCCAGGGACCTGGGTTTGATTCCAACCTCTGGCGACTGTCTGTGTGGAGTTTGCACATTCTCCGTGTGTCTATGTGGGATTCCACCGGGCGCTCCAGTTTCCTCCCACAGTCCAAAGATGTGCAAGTTAGGTGGATTGGCCATACTAAATTACCCATATGGTGTTCAGAGATGTGTAGATTAGGTGTGTTAGTCGTGGGAAATGCTAGCTTACAGGAATAGGGTAAGGGGAACGGGGTCTGGATGGGATACTCAGAGGGTCAGTGTGGACTCATTGAGCCAAATGGCCTGTTTCCACACTGTAGGGGCTCTATGGATTCCGATGAGACAGATATCGACAATGTAATTGTCTCATACTGTTCGTGGTCATGAGACATATTGTATACTGAATTATAAGTGTAACTGTAACAGGAAAGTACTGTGCATGCTGAAAATCTGGAAAAGAAGCAGAAAGTGCTGGAGAAAAATATCAGGTCTGGCAGCATCTGTGGAAAGAGAAACAGAATTAATATTGAGCCCAATATGATGTATCTTTGGAAAGGAAGCGCAATACAAGCATAACCACAAAATGTATTAGCATATAAAGATATCTTAACAGAAGTTCTCTTGAGCTGTATGTGTATGAAATTCCCGGTTAACTCCTTCCTCCCTACTATCAAAGGCCCCAAGTACACTTTCCACATGAATTAGTGACTTGCCTGCACTTCATTCAATCTAGCCTACTGAATTTGTTACTCACAATGTGGTCTCTTCCACACTGGGGAGAGAAAACACAGACTGGGTGGCCACTTTGCAGAACACCTCTGCTTCATCCACAAAAATAACCCCAAGCTGACCTGCAATTTCAAGAAATTGTCACATTCCCATGCCAAAATGTATATCTCAGGCCTGCTGCAATGCTCCAGCAAAGCCCAACGTAATATAAAGGAACAACACCTCATCTTCCACCTCGGTATCTTACAGATCTTAGAACTCAACATTGACAATTTCAGAGCATGAATAACTTTCTCCATCTTCACTACTCAGGTCACGTTCTGTATTATTCCAGGTTATTTCTAGCACAACCAATCCATTTTCAACTATTCCCACCTTCAATGAGTACTCATTCAGCATTTCTCTCCCAGCTTATCAGCATTCCTTTGCTTCTGTTTCTCTCTCTCTCTCTGGTCACCATGTCCATCTATTCAAATCATTCCTTTGCCCATTCCCCATTATTAGCATAAATACCACCATTTCCCACGTAATTTCAGTTCTGATGAAGAGTCACTGGACTTGAAAGACAAACTCTGTTTCTCTCGCCACAGATGATGCCAGACCTGCTGAGTTTCTCCAACAGAGATAGTAGGAACTGCAGATGCTGGAGAATCCGAGACAACAAGTTTCTCCAACACTTTGTTCTTATGTTAGATGTCCAGTATCCACAGTTCTTTATTTTATTTTATGCAGTTGCTTGTGTTGGCTGAGGTACTATTCAAGTAATTTGTTCTCAAATCGTCCAACCAATGTGAACATTTATTACAAATACATTTTGGGAAATCTGTTCAATGTCTGGAGCCAGAATGAAAGAAACTGCTAAACATCATTAAATGTACATGTGCATATGGGCTAGTTACAAAGCTAAACTGTGTTGTCAGAGTCACCAATTCGATTGCAACATTTAATTTAGAATTACTACAATAATAGTGTAGAGCCAGTGTGTATTTATTATTGAATTACAGTTGTTAGATTATTAGAGGTTGCTGACTTCTAAATTATATTGAGCAGAGCAATGTTCATTTTGAGTTTGCTCTCAGTTTAAACCACTGTGACAGCAAAATAGTAAGAATACAAGGATCAGGTAGATAGCAATTGGCCAAAATACTTTCCCATATTCAAATTCTTGATTCAGAGGGATCCGCTCCTCATGGGATCTTGCTCCTAGAGAGCAGAGAATGCTTGTCCACCCATTCCCACAGGGTCAAGAGCCACATAAAATTTTAGTATCACCCTAAACTGCACTCTTGAAAATCCTAGCATCCACCACAAACGGCACACAGTGACACACAGACAAGCCTCAATACCAGTTCAGTAATATTCAGTGGCTAGTGAACTACTCAAGTTTCTGTTTCAACCCCTGGGGCCCAAAGACAAATCAGGCATTTGGTGATAATTAGCATCCAGCCTCCACATATGGACATGGTGAATTTAAATCAATCATCTAACAGAGGACTTGCTGAGATTCCTGCTTCCTGAGGGGAAGCCAATCTCAAAACTTCCAAAATACCTACTGAAAAAGAAGAAAGAAGCTTGGACAGGAATGAAGCAGTATTATCAAATACAACAAGTAATCAAATAAGTGGGAGGGGATGTGCAAGGTGAGCTGGAAGACACATCGGAGACTGGGGTATTACTGTGGAAATCCATGCTTTGATTTGAATTATTTCTCATGTATTTGTGGTGGTGCAGCTTGCAAGCCAAGTTGGACTCAATAATGAACTTGCAGTTTGCTGCTGGCATAGACACCGAAAAGGATGGATAGAACACAATCTAAAGGGTTACATCCAGACAGGCAGGGGTTTCCAGGGAGGAACAATGTATAGCTGTACAGGCTAATTGGAACTCAAAACCTAACCTACCGACTGGCTACTGCAGTTGGGCCACCAATGATGGTGTCTTCTTTTGACATGGTCAAGGGCTAAAAGGGGAGACTGTGAGTGCACACAGGTACAGAAATGAAATACATACTAGACAGATATATAGAAGAACATACAGATATATAGCAGGCTGGGAGGTTGGTGTAGGCTGACACTCGGTTGAGGTATTTTAAGGATTAAAAGAAAACATTCTGAATGTAAACTTTGGTCAGGACATGCCAGACTTAGAGAAGACATGAGCCATATAGCTACATGAACAGACATAATTACATAGCATAAAGTAGAAACTTGTTTAACATTATGGAGGGATAATTTGTTTTTTAAAGGAGGGGGTCACTGGACAGGGGAATAGCAGGAGCTTGATTAGCCTTAAAACAGAAAGTGTTTAGCCCAACTAGGGCCTGGGTTTGGTCTTCTAATGACACATCAATAATTGTCTCATATTGTTTATGGTCATGTGATAAATTGTATGTCTAAGTATTTAACATGACTCAATACAAAGTACATAGATAATCCTTTGTTTGTGGAAGTTTCTCTTGAGCAGAATACACAAAATAAAGCCTTACCATTTACGTGATGTATATCGCTTTAAACACTACAAAACTAAACTCTGGAATAAACACTGAACTATATTTCAGCAGCTTCTTTTTGAGCAGCAGAAAACAGACAAGGAGATATGCATTTGAAAGCAAGAAGTAGAAGACTCTCTTTCTTTCCATCAGCAGCTAAAAAAAAAAGCCAACAGTTCCCATCTTGGACGAAGAAATTGCGATCAGTCCCATTAAGGCAGGCAGCATGCAGATTTTGTGCTGCCTCCACATTTCCATTATTTTAGCATACAGTGAAAAGTTGAGAAATTTATTTTATTTCCAGAGCAGACATTGTCTGAAGTCTGACAGAATCCAAGCCAAAAACTCACGTTACATTTCTTCAAGAAAAAAAAAGTCTTAGTAAACTCAAGTTTATAATTGAGTTTTGATTTCCACTAAACTTTTGGAAGATTTTCCTCACCATCATCCAACTGCTAGTTATCTTTAAAAAGCATCAATTGTTTATAAACAAAAATGTCAGACGTTTATTTTTTTCCCACACTCTGTTTGAATGCAACACCAAAATTATTCTAGTATTAAATGAGTTAATGCCAGAATAAATACACAATTATTCTACATATTCGTATGTTTCCACTGAGGTACATCTGTCAAAAGAAGACTAAAAGGAGTCCTTGAACCTTTATAGTGCTTGTCCCAACCACCGAACCTCTCAAAGTTGTTTTGCAGCCAAAATTTTGAAGAGTTCAACTGTTGTTATCAGTTGTGAGATTTTGGAACTTTGTCTTAGAAGGCAGTGACAGCAGGTCATTGAATACTTTTAAAGGTGGAGGCATATAGGATTCTTGTCAGACAAAGGAATCAAAGGTTTTCGAGCATATGTGGGAATGTGTAATTCAAAACATGGCAGAATGGATGACAGGAGAGTAGTTAATGGGTAAAATGGACTACTTCCACTTCTACTCCATATGTGCATATTTAACGAGGTAGCCAAATACTTTTAAATGGGATTCATTTCTTAGAAGCATCAAAAATGCAGTCCGATGCAAATATGAAAGTGTTGACAAACTTACTCGGAAATAATCACTGCAAGCTGCCAGCACTGCTTTGTGGGCATGGAATTTTTGTTCCTCAGCAACCAGAATGACATCGCATAGTATCCCATCATTCCTTTGCTGGTTCAGAGCTGCTAGAACAGCATCCTTATGAGACTTCGATTGGCAGAGCCTGTGACCTGTCAGCATCTCTTGAATGCTGTAAATTAAACAAAAGTAGGTTGTCAAGAAAAATAAGGCTCTCCCCCTCAAACAGTACACCACACTAGAAATGCATTACACGGAGTGAAACATATCCCTTGCACTAAACTGTTTGCAATAAACGAAAGTAGCAAACCTTTGGAAATAAATGAAAGCTTTCTTTCTAATCAATAATTACAAAATGATGAAACCACCATTCCAGCCAGTGTGGGCCACATGCTGGATTAGAAACAAAGGCTCGAAAATCTCACGACTGTTCGACACCACAACTAAATCCCACGACCAAACCTGAAACGATGCAGAATAATACGTGGCTATTTTGTACACAGTGTGCATTAAAACTATTTTTAAGAGTTCAGCATAAACCACAGCTAAGTAAATTAGAAATAAAACTGGAAACAAAAACGCGCTAAATGTTACTAGCTATGGAACACAAGTCACTGACAATATTTCACTGATGCAGACTTGCAGTCTGACAAAAGCACCGAATGCCTCAACTGAACTGAATTAAATACCAGCTAGATAAAGGTGACATCACACACACTCATGGGTCAGATACACAGTACCTGAGGCACATTTCAGATGGCATATTCCAATCCAGACCCAGCAGGTATCAGTACAAAAGGCGGTGAAGGTATAAGAGCCCAGCTGAAAGTGCAACAATGGAATAGCAATGTGTGAGCATGAATAGGTTTGGCTCCAGTTGACTGTACAAGCATGGATTCCAAAGGCTCATCCGACATTCAATTAGGTTTATCACAAACGGCAAATGAAAGGATGACTTAGATTAATGATTATGCAGCTGCGGCCTTGGGGACTTTCCATTTCTCAATTTTTTTTTTTTTTTCCACACGATTTTAAATTAAGAAACTATTTTGTTTATAATGCTGTTGTATCCAGTATCACACAAGATAATTTTACAAAATGGACAAATCAGCTAACTGACAAAGATTTGCTAGAATATTTTCAAACCATCGTATCCTTTATCAGCAACAAACAAGCAAACAAACAGTCTTCTACACACTCATATCTGATATTAGAAGTTCTTCCATGGCAGTGTTAAACTGGAGGGTATTGTTTTAGAAATAAAGGAGAGTTATACAATGTATTACACAATGAACTTCTAATCAATAGGTAAGGTACATCTATGTGCCAGTGTTAAAACCAATAGGCTTATGGCTGTAATTAGGTCAATGAGAGCATTTTCTTTGTGGAATGACAGCTGTTTGTAAATAGTTACTAGAGTCTCTAGTCTATTAACAAACAGCATGAAATGACTAGCTAGCTAGCTTTCAACCTTATACAATTAAACATTTGAATGTCTGAAGATGTTTGAGGCGGACTGATGATATAATAAAATATACCAAGGGACGGAGAGATTGTGGGAAGCAGATTCAACCCGAGGCAGATGGATGGTGTCACCAGTAAGCGTAGTTTGCAGTGGAGTTGAAGATGGTAGTTTACTGATGTCCAACAGTTTTCTGTGGCCTTGTTCACAGCAACTTGATCAATGGTCTGTTTTAAAAGGTCAAAAGAAAAAGTGTAAACTATCATTCTGCTCTAAACATGATGCTCTGTCCCTCAGTCATACAGCACAGAAACAGACCCTTTGGTCCAATTCATCCACACCGACCAGACATCCCAATCTGATCTAGTCCCATTTGCCAGCACTTGGCCCATATCCCTCTAAACCCTTCCTATTCACATACCCATCTAAGGGCCTTTTAAACATTATATTGTATCCACCTCCATCACTTCATCTGGCAACTCATTCCATACGTGCACCACCCTAGGAAAGGATAGCTCTCAGGTCCTTTTTAAAATCTTTCCCCTCTCACCTTAAGCCTATGCCCTCTATTTTTGGTTTCCCCCCGCCCTAGGAAACAGATCTTGGCTATTTACCCTATCCATGACCCTCATGATTTTATAAACTTTAAGGCCACCCCTTAGCATCCGATGCTCCAAGAAAGAAAGCCCCAGCCGATTCAGCCTCTCCCTGTAACTCAAATCCTCCAGTCCCGGCAACATCCATGTAAATCTTTTCTGTATCTTTTCAAGTTTAACAACATCTTTCCTGTAGAAGGGCAACCAAAATTATGGGGAGGAAGGGTTACTTGACCCAAAATACTGATTTCTCTCCACAGATGTTGCCAGACATGCTGAGCTTTTCCAGCAATTTCTATTTTTGTCTCTAACCATTTCCATTGTCCACTTCACCACCTATTTTGACAACATTTGCAAACCTACTAACTATTCCTCCCATATTCACATCCAAATTATTTATACAAATGATGAGAAGCAGTGGACCCAGCACAGATGCTTGTGGCACACTGCTGGTCACAGGCCTCCAGTAGAAAAAGCAACCCTCCACCACCACCCTGTGTCTCCTTCCTTCTAGCTAATTGGTTAGCACCCTCTGGATCCCATGTGATTTAACCTTAAAAGTCTACAATGAGGAACTTTGTCAAGTGCTTTGCTGAAGTCCATGTAGACCATGCCTACCGCACTGCTTTCATCAATCTTCTTCGTCACCTCTTCAAAAAAAAAACTCAACCAAGTTTGAGAGATACGATTTCCCACACACAAAGCGATGTTGACTATCCCTAATCAGTCCTTGTCTTTCCAAATGCATGTAAATCTTGTCCCTCAGAAATCCCTCCAACAGCTTACCCACACTGATGTCAGGCTCACCAGTCTACAATTCCCTGGCTTTTCATTTCAGCCTTTCTTAAATAATGGCACCACATTAGCCATCCTTCAGTCTTCTGGCACTTCACCTGTGGCTGTTGATGATATAAATGTCCCATCAGGGGGTCCAGAAATTTCTTCCCAAGATTTCCACAATGTTCTGGGAAACACCTGATCATGTCCCAAGGATTTATCTACCTTTATGCATTTTAAGACCTCCAGCACTTTCTCTTCTGTATTATGAACTCTTTTCAAGACATCACTGTTTATTTCCCCAAGTTCCCTAGCTTTTTTTCCCCTTCTTCACAATAAATACTGATGCAAAATATTTGTTCAGTATCTCACCCATCTGCTGTGTTTCCACACATAGGCAGCCACGTTGATTATTAAGGGGCCCTATTCTCTCCCTGGTTACTCTTTTGCCCTTAATGTACTCCTAGAATCTCTTTGGATTTTCCTTAATTCTATTTGCCAAAGCCATCTCATGTCCCTTTTTTGTCCTCCAGATTTCCCTCTTAAGTATACTCCTACTGCCCTTACTCTCCTCTAGGGATTGAATCAATCCCAGTTGTCTACACTTGACAGATGTCTCCTTCTTTTTTCTTGACTAGAGCCTCAATTTTTCTCCATATCAAAAACAGAAGTCGCTGGAAAAGCTCAGCAGGTCTGGCAGCATCTGTGAAGAGAAAATCAGAGTTAATGTTCGAGGTCCGGTGACCCTTCCTCCGAACTTATAGTAGCTGGGAAAATGTCGGTTTATATGCAGAAAATAAGGAGGGGGTGGGATAGGGAGTAAGCAATAGGATAGAGCCCAAAAGAGAAGGAAGATTTCTCTAGTCATCCAACATTCCCTACACCTACCTGCTTTGCCCTTCACTCTAACAGGAACATACTGTCTGTGAACTCTTGTTATCTCATTTTTAAAGGCGTCCCACTTCACAACCATAAAACTTTACCTGCAAATAGCACACCCAATCCCCTCCACCCAATCAACTTTTGAAAGTTCCCATCTAATACCATCAAAATTGGCCTTAATCCAATTTAGAACTTCAACTTTCCGATCAATTCTATCATTTTCCAAAACTATTTTAAAACTAATAAAGTCATGATCACTTGCCCCAAAATGCTCCCCCACTGACACCGCAGTCACTTGCCCTGCCTTATTTCCCAACAGAAGGCCAAGTATTGTTCCTTCTCTGGTAGGTACATCCATATACTGAATAAGAAGGTTTCCTTGTACACACTTAAGTTCCTTCCCATCCAAGCCCTTAACATTATGACAGTCCCAGTCGATGTTTGGAAAGTTAAAATCCCCTATTACAATCATATTATTCTTACAGATATCAGAGATCTGTTTCATATTTGCTTCTCAATTTCCCCACTGACTATACTACTGAGTAAGTACCAGGGGAAGGACAAAAGGTAAATATCATTCTTTTCAGGTTGCAGATCTGAAACCAACATTTGTTTCTTTCCCAATATAATTTGCACAGCTATAATATTAATGTATACTGCTTTTACCAGAAATCATATCATTGTATGATGCTGGATACCTGCTCCAGAATTAAAGCAGAGAAAGAAAGCCCTGGCTTCCTCTCACTACTGTCAGAGCCACACAGCTGGAAGGAGCCAATCATGGACCTTTGTCCATCATGTCCCTATTGGTCATCAACCACCTATATAATCTAGTCCATTTTCCAGCATTGGCCTGTAGCCCATGCTATGGCACATCAAATGTTCACACAAATACACAAAGTTTGTGATGGCTTCTGCGTTTCCCAACCTTTCAGGTAGCGAGTTCCACATACCCACCATCCTCTGGGTGAACAAATGCTGCTTTAAATCCCCTTTAAATCTTCAGCCTCCTACTTTAAATCTATGGTTCCTGCTTATTGGCACCTCTACCTAAGGGAAAAGTTTCTTCGTATCTACACCAACTATTCTCCCCTATAGACATAAACCAGATTCCCACTCAGCCTTCTTTGCTCTACAGAAACACACACTCAGCCTATCTATCTCTCTTCATAGCTGAAACACTCCAACCAAGGCAATACCCTGGTGAATCTCATCAAAGTTCATCTGATCCTCTTATACTTCCTCATGTTTAGATCCTATCATTCCCTTGTATCATTAGGTCTCCCTTAATGCATCAATTTACGCTGTTCTTTATTCACTCGTGGGACAGGGGCATCACTGGCTGGGTTAGCATTTATTGCCCATCTCTAGTTGCAGTTAGGAAGGTGGTAGCAATAGGGCACACTACTTCATCACAAGCATGTTGTTATTGCTCGAAATACATTTGTGAAACTGCCCCAAAATAAATATGCGATATATTCACCATTTACACCATACTAAAAAGACCACACAAACTAATCAAATAATTGCTTGAACAGAAAACAATGTATTATTGAACATGATACATTTTCTATAAAGATAATTGTAGCACAAGATTAGCTATCATTATTCTTCAGCAATATATTTGCTTCCTGAGGAAGTCATTCCAATGTCATCTATTCGCTAAACGCTAACGCAGGTTAATAAAATAAATGCTGACTATGATAATGAGTTACTTGCTAAGGCAATTGGAGACAGCAAGAACTGCAGATGCTGGAGTCAGAGTCAACACAGTGTGGAGCTGGAGGAACACAGCAGGTCAGGCAGCATTAGAAAAGGAAAGTCGATGTTTCGGATCAGCACTCTTCAGAACTGGACCCAAAACGTCGACTTTCCTTCTTCTCTGATGCTACCTGACCTGCTGTGTTCCTCCAGCTCCACACTGTGTTGACTACTTGCTAAGGCAGACCTATTTTGACCAAGTACATTCAAATGGAAAAAATTGCTGGTTTCACATCAACAACTTACTTTTTATACTTTACAGATGTTGCAACAGATATAACAAACATGAACAGATGTTTCACGAATCTAATCCTGGTTATTGCTTTGAACAAAACCATTTAGTTGCCAACATTGAAGAAGTTGTTGTATGTTTTAGCAACCTGTTACTCTACTGCAAGGTTAATGTTAAGATATAAAGCCAGGTGTGGAGTTCATTTCACATCCAAAAATCATTTTGAAAACATGCATTCAGAAAAGGAGCACCAGATTATTTCACACTCTACACATCGTATATTGATAGACAGATCCTGATGTTCTGGTACATCTTTCACGATACAAATACGGAAGCTTTTTTGAGAAAAGCAACCTGCTGCTGAAACATTTCAATGGGTTGTAACTGTAAGAACATATCTTGCTTCCACACAAGGTTTGTATGAAATATCATCAATGTCAATAGTTAGTTCAGAGTGAACGGCTCCGACGAACAGTCACTGGACTTGAAATATTACTTCAGCTTTCTTCCCACAAATGCTACCGGACCTGCTGAGTTTCACCAGCAATTCCTGTTTTTCTTTCTGATCTCCAGCATCCGCAGTTCTTGGTTTTATTTATATGAATAGTTAGCATTGTTTTCCTTCAGAGTTGGAAAGACAGAATCATCAGGGCCCCACCCAGCCAAGGCCAAATCTCAGGGTAGCAGAGATAGGCAGGAAAGTAGAATTGAGGGCTTAATCAGGTCAGCCATGATCATATCCAATGGCACAGACAGCAAACAGCTTAAATAATCCTTTTCCCTTCCCTTTTTTATATGTCTTTGTACTTATGTAGTAAGATGAGTATTTTTATTTTAAATTATGTATCAGACTTGGCCTTAGCAATACAAGCAGTGACACAACCTCTCATGATTCTATGGTGATCGATCCTTGTTATAACACAATCCTGCTTGAAAACAATTCTGCTGACTTGTTCTAGGAGCATCTTGGCAAAGAAGA